TCTCGTCAACCATGAAAGAGTCTAAACCTGGCAACTCATTGGTTGATACCATCAGGTCACATCGACCATCGGTTGATACTGTCAGGTCACATTGACCTGTCATGAAAGCATGTGAGCCAGGCAACTCATTGGTTGATACCATCAGGTCACATCGACCATCGGTTGATACTGTCAGGTCACATCGACCTGTCATGAAAGCGTGTGAGCCAGGCAACTCATTGGTTGATACCATCAGGTCACATCGACCATCGGTTGATACCATCAGGTCACATCGACCATCGGTTGATACTGTCAGGTCACATCGACCTGTCATGAAAGCGTGTGAGCCAGGCAACTCATTGGTTGATACCATCAGGTCACATCGACCATCGGTTGATACCATCAGGTCACATCGACCATCGGTTGATACTGTCAGGTCACATCGACCTGTCATGAAAGCGTGTGAGCCAGGCAACTCATTGGTTGATACCATCAGGTCACATCGACCATCGGTTGATACTGTCAGGTCACATCGACCTGTCATGAAAGCGTGTGAGCCAGGCAACTCATTGGTTGATACCATCAGGTCACATCGACCATCGGTTGATACTGTCAGGTCACATTGACCTGTCATGAAAGCGTGTGAGCCAGGCAACCATTGGTTGATATCATCAGGTCACATTGATATGTCATCAAAGCAAGTGAGCCAGGCAACTCATCGGTTGATATGTTCAGGTCACAATCAGGTGTCCTATTTACATGATGGACGTCGTACATGTCCTAACAGCAGGGTTGTGACAAGGGCCCCTTGACTTGCATGTCTTATGTTGTGGGGTAGGCCAGTGGTTAGAGTGTTCACTCATCTCGCCTAAGGCCCGGGTTCCATTCCCCACAGGTGTACACTGATGCTTATTATACCAATCACTTGATTGTCTGATTCCAGACAAGATTACTCTCCGCTGTCATATAGCTGAAAAATTTCTGAGTGTGGATTAATCAACCAAACACTGCGTGAAGCCCATGTCTGGTGTACCCAACGTGATACTGCTGGAATTTTGCAGAAAGCAGCATGAAACATTTGTCTGAACACTGATATGCTTATGACATGTGTAATAATGTCTGTCATGTGCTACAAGGTAGGGGTGAGTTTTTTCTAGCCTGGCAAAGAGCGAAGGAGTGCTGTTGATCCCCTGTGACCACAGTGACACAACAATGCTCATGGTAGCAATCACTGGATTGTCTGATTCCAGACTAGATTATTTACAGACTGCAATCAGTGCTGAACAACAAATGAACCAACAAACACTGTGTGAAGCCCATGTCTGGTGTGCCCAACATGAATTTTGTAGAAAGCATCATTAAACCTCCTTCGTTCATGTTTTTCAGAACACTGACATGCTTGTAACATGAATAATAACATCTGTCGTGTGTAACTAATAGGGGGGAGTTTTGTCTACCCTGACAAACAGTGAATATGTATGTAATATGTAATATGCAGAACTCCAGATAAGCTTTTGGTGTTGTGGGTATTTTACCCATGCATTTTAAAATCATTGGGTATCAGTAATTCTATCTGGGTATTCAAATTTCTGTTACCCACTAGTTTTTACACATGTGGGTATTTAAGTTAAATATTTAAAAACTCCATTCATCTAGTCCCTGCAAACTGGTGTTGTGTGGGTTCGAGAGCCTTATAGGACTAAACAATACCACGATACTTCCAAGAGAAAGTGTGATGGCAAATGATCATGATGTAACTGTCATCGTGGAGTTTGGCAAGGTTGACGGAATGTCCGTTTATAATTTCAAAATAAGTTGCTGATTTGCTAATCAAATACGCAGGGTTACTTCACAATATTTTGATGATACGCACAAGTTTTATTTTTGTAGCGTATCTGAAATGTTGGTTGCGTATTTGATACGCTTGGATTTTATTTTACTGCATATTTCTGCATTTCTGATGCATATTTTACGCAGATACACAGCTTATCTGGAGCTCTGACCCTGACAAACAGTGAAGGAGTGCTATTCATCCTCTGTGAAAATGCAAATGCCCGCAACAGTGACACAAGGATATGTACTGTGTTGAGGAAAGTGAGTAGAATACAAGTGTTGCTAGGAAGGATACTTATTAGGATTGTTCAGCAGTGTCACATACGGATGATTCGAACTATTCATGGAGGGCGAGAAGCAACACTTCCTGTTGTCATCAACGTTGTCGTGTTGAGGATTTGTTCAATTCCGGACATTTCGTTGATTTTATTCACTTTCAAGAGGACGTTCCTCCTTATGTTATTAATTAGAAACTGCCAGTGACCTAGATTATTAACCTAGATATAAAACCTGATCTCACTTTCCTATGACACATACAGGGGTTTACATGATGCATGAAATGTGTCTAGTACGCACAAATATATGGACAATAGAATGTGTTGCATCCCCAGGGATGTTCAGTAAGATTCATTGTACCAATTTCTGGAGTGGAAAGATCTAGGTCCTGTGATTAAAGTAAGATTCAAGTCTTTCAGCACAGTACACTGCACCATTTCATTACGTTTATGGGGACACGGGTGGCCCAGTCGTCTAATTTGCCGCGATTCCCTGTTCAGAGTTGCATCCCTTGGGCACGCCAGAAACCTATGATTGTGGGTTCGAATCCCGGTTCGCCCCAATTATGTTTCTAGGTTTGTCAGCACCATATCCGTGCTTGTGGGTCACCAAAGTGGTAAACATCTAAGACCAGCATCACTTGAGGCTTTCCTCCAACATTAAGCTGACACGCCGTAATATAACGGGAATATTGTTAAAAGTGGCGTTAAACCCAACTCATTCACTCACTCATTACGTTTACAGGACCCTCATATTTTTCCCATAAGGACTCTTGAAATGAATTATGGGGGGGCTGTCACCACAGTTTTGGAGGTCAAGGTAAAGTAATGGACATATGGTTTGAAACAAATCCACTTTCTAAACGATTCACTCGACAATTGACCAGAGTATGGGTGTATTGCGATGTTGTGTTCCTCAAAATGTGTAACTGATTATCTGATGCAGCCATGCAAGCTGCCGATCACAGTGACAGTGTCTAAGATGCTTTAGTTCACTGAGACCTCAGAGGTTCCAGGTTAAAATTCTGTAGGAAACTGGTCTGGCTGTAACAGTTTGTTTACTGGATCAGATGGTTAGGCTCAGTGACTTTGTTGTTAGTGTTTTATCGTACCCCGATTGCATGGATCAATGCTCATAATATCAATCAATGTACACCCCGTGTCATGGCTGAGTGCCATGTTAAACAACAAACAACACTCTTTCACTGTGTAGAGTACACTCCCTTTATCGCACCAGAATCTGCTGGTTGTACGTTGAAATTCTAGATTTGACTTGACCTGTTCCTAAAGCTGACTTGAGAATCTGAGAATCAGTAACACAGAAAAACTGTTCAAAGACCTTAAACCTAACTCACTCACTCACTCATTTGTGGGTTTGACGAAATACAGTCTGTTACTCATAAAACATTTTGTCTTCATTCAATGATAATGGTGGCCACTTGACATCAGCGACGAAGCCTTTCATACACTAGTTCACCATGGTTACAGGGCAACACCCTGGGGGTGGGTAGTAATTGTCATATTCCGCCGCCGGTATCACCAGGCAGACAATACAAGTGCCTGTGGACACATTACATTGGTGACTGTCGCTTTGTCTTCCCCTGCGACCGTCATAATCGGCCTGCTAAATGCTATCTATGATTGCCGGAGCAGCGTGTATTATAACAGGGCCCAAACATGGGATGAAGGTCAAAGGTCACTCCTGGCTGCCAAATGGCAGCTTATAGGTCAGCTGTCATGGATTATGAAATTATGTTTCATTGTTTCAAATTCCTTAAATTCTGACATTGCCAGTGTAGTGTGATTTAGAGATAATGTTTTGTGTGTTCGAGTGCATTTTAATAGTGAGATTACTGGTGACCTGACTGGCTGCAGAACGATATGCCAGACCCTGTGTGTAGGAAGAGTGTGCTGAGCTGAACCTAAGGATGTTCAGGCTTGATGTCACAATGATAGAGGCTGTGTTTGTGCCAAAGTAACCATGAAACTCCTCCCCCCTCTCTCCCCCTTCCACATTCATCGTTCTCTATGTGTATTTATTAAATGAGTATTGTGGAAAAAAAGATTTTTCAAGTATTATGTGCTGAATAAGTTGACATTGCATCCCTTCAGCGAATTTCATCAACTTCAGTTTATACCCTGGTGTTTCAAATTTCTTCTGAATTCAAAGTTTAGAATGATACAATGTGGATGTGCGTGTGTGAGTGAGTGCGTGCATGCTGAGGTTGATGGTGAATACTGAAGTTGATGGTGAATGCTGACATTGGTGAATATTGACATAAGGGAAGTTGATGTTTAATACTGATGTCGATGTTGAATACTGAGTTGAATACTGATGTCGATGTTGAATCCTGATGTTGATGTTGAATACTGATGTTGATGGTGAATACTGAAGTTGATGGTGAATACTGATGTCGATGGGAATACTGAAGTTGATGGTGAATACTGATGTTGATGGTGAATACTGATGTTGAATACTGAAGTTGATAGTGGATGCTGACATTGGTGAATACTGACATTAGGGAAGTTGATGTTCAATACTGATGTTGATGTTGAATACTGAAGTTGATGGTGAATACTGAGTTGAATACTGAAGTTGATGGTGAATACTGATGTTGATGTTGAATACTGAGTTGAATACTGATGTTGATGTTGAATACTGATGTTGAATACTGATGTTGATGTTGAATACTGAGTTGAATACTGAAGTTGATGTTGAATACTGATGTTGATGTTGAATACTGATGTTGATGTTGAATACTGTTGTTGATGTTGAATACTGAGTTGAATACTGAAGTCAATGGTGAATACTGAGTTGAATTCTGATGTTGATGTTTAATACTGATGTCGATGATGTTGATGGTGAATACTGAAGTTGCTGGTGAATACTGATGTTGATGTTGTTTTTTTCAGTTGGTACTTCGGTCCACTTGGTCGAGAGGAGACTAATGATATATTGATGAATGAACGTGACAGCGGCGTGTTCCTTGTACGAGAGAGTCGATCAATACGTGGAGATTTTGTACTATGTGTCAGGTGAGTGGATGCTGCAGACGTTCAGGTACACGGGAAAGTAGACACAACTGATGGTACAGGACACTGATGGTACAGGACAAAGTAGACACAACTGATGGTACAGGACAAAGTAGACACAACTGATGGTACAGGACGAGGTAGACACAACTGATGGTACAGGACAAAGTAGACACAACTGATGGTACAGGACGAGGTAGACACAACTGATGGTACAGGACAAAGTAGACACAACTGATGGTACAGGACAAGGTAGACACAACTGATGGTACAGGACAAAGTAGACACAACTTACTGGTACAGGACGAGGTAGACACAACTGATGGTACAGGACAAAGTAGACACAACTGATGGTACAGGACAAGGTAGACACAACTTATAGGTACAGGACAAGGTAGACACAACTGATGGTACAGGACAAAGTAGACACAACTTACTGGTATAGGACAAAGTAGACACAACTGATGGTACAGGACAAGGTAGACACAAATGATGGTACAGGACAAAGTAGACACAACTGATGGTACAGGACAAAGTAGACACAACTGATGGTACAGGACAAAGTAGACACAACTGATGGTACAGGACAAGGTAGACACAACTGATGGTACAGGACAAAGTAGACGCAACTGATGGTACAGGACAAAGTAGACACAACTGATGGTACATGGGAAAGGAAATCTGGGTAAAATATTCCAAGTGTCCATAGTCAATGTAATCAATATAATGGCTATTTGAAATAAAAAACTCTGGTAATCAATTCAGTACTTTATTCAACCCTTCTCTGCTTGTAACCAGTGAAGTATATTAATTTTTGGAATAATCTTCGTAATAAGCCAAATCAGTGTTCCCGCTGGCTTTTGAAACTGTCAGTTCTGGTGGACTGGCAACTCCAAATATTACCAGTTCCCCCTAATTTTTGTCAGTCCCAACTTTCAACATATATAGAAAGTATGAAAATTACCCGGATTTAATTCTTTCAACATCATGTTCCTGTTCATCTCCGCTTTAACTGAGTTAGATCAACACGTCATTCACACAAAGTCCAGTCACAATTGTCCCTTTATATTTTATATTTCAAGACGAAGTCGCAACAAATATATATTTAACCTCAAAGCAAAGCAAAATGTTATTTCTTTGCAAAAGAGATAGAATAGGGGAAACCTTAATGGTAACAGACAAGTTGACTTTGTTAAAAAAATATACTTATATGATAATCGCCAATGTTTTGTTCAACAAAGATTTATTTGCCAATCCAGAAGGACTGGCAGTCACATGAATTACCAGTCCAAGCCTTATGTTACCGGTAAAAAACTGGTATTTACCGGTAAACGGGAACTTGTAATGAAAAATCTCTGAATTAAAATTTCTGAGTGATTGGTCGATTTCAGAGCTAATTATGACCATTGATTGATGATAAAATTACACTATTTTCCATTTTCCCCAGCACTGAGCTTCACCTCTGCCCAACTGTTACACAAGATCATAACATGTCACTGTGGGAAACACTGTACATAGGTGGACTCTGCTTTATGAACACAACTGTGTAACCAGACATGCATGAGATGATCCATACATCACATCTGTCATACATTACATCTGACATAGATTACATCTGACATACATTACATCTGACATACATTACATCTGACATACATTACATCTGACATAGATTACATCTGACATACATTACATCTGACATACATCACATCTGACATAGATTACATCTGACATACATTACATCTGACATACATTACATCTGACATAGATTACATCTGACATACATTACATCTGACATAGATTACATCTGACATACATTACATCTGACATAGATTACATCTGACATAGATTACATCTGACATAGATTACATCTGACATACATTACATCTGACATAGATTACATCTGACATACATTACATCTGACATACATTACATCTGACATAGATTACATCTGACATACATTACATCTGACATACATTACATCTGACATACATTACATCTGACATACATTACATCTGACATAGATTACATCTGACATACATTACATCTGACATACATTACATCTGACATACATTACATCTGACATACATTACATCTGACATAGATTACATCTGACATACATTACATCTGACATACATTACATCTGACATAGATTACATCTGACATACATTACATCTGACATACATTACATCTGACATACATTACATCTGACATACATTACATCTGACATACATTACATCTGACATACATTACATCTGACATAGATTACATCTGACATACATTACATCTGACATAAATTACATCTGACATACATTACATCTGACATACATTACATCTGACATAGATTACATCTGACATACATTACATCTGACATACATTACATCTGACATAGATTACATCTGACATAGATTACATCTGACATAGATTACATCTGACATACATTACATCTGACATAGATTACATCTGACATACATCACATCTGACATACATTACATCTGACATACATTACATCTGACATACATCACATCTGACATAGATTACATCTGACATAGATTACATCTGACATACATTACATCTGACATACATTACATCTGACATAGATTACATCTGACATAGATTACATCTGACATACATTACATCTGACATAGATTACATCTGACATACATTACATCTGACATACATCACATCTGACATACATTACATCTGACATACATCACATCTGACATAGATTACATCTGACATACATTACATCTGACATACATCACATCTGACATAGATTACATCTGACATAGATTACATCTGACATACATTACATCTGACATAGATTACATCTGACATACATTACATCTGACATACATCACATCTGACATAGATTACATCTGACATACATCACATCTGACATAGATTACATCTGACATACATTACATCTGACATACATCACATCTGACATAGATTACATCTGACATAGATTACATCTGACATAGATTACATCTGACATACATTACATCTGACATAGATTACATCTGACATACATTACATCTGACATACATTACATCTGACATACATTACATCTGACATAGATTACATCTGACATAGATTACATCTGACATACATTACATCTGACATACATTACATCTGACATACATTACATCTGACATACATTACATCTGACATAGATTACATCTGACATACATCACATCTGACATAGATTACATCTGACATAGATTACATCTGACATACATTACATCTGACATACATTACATCTGACATACATTACATCTGACATAGATTACATCTGACATAGATTACATCTGACATAGATTACATCTGACATACATTACATCTGACATACATTACATCTGACATACATTACATCTGACATAGATTACATCTGACATACATCACATCTGACATAGATTACATCTGACATAGATTACATCTGACATACATTACATCTGACATACATTACATCTGACATACATTACATCTGACATACATTACATCTGACATAGATTACATCTGACATACATTACATCTGACATACATCACATCTGACATAGATTACATCTGACATACATTACATCTGACATAGATTACATCTGACATACATTACATCTGACATACATTACATCTGACATACATTACATCTGACATAGATTACATCTGACATACATTACATCTGACATACATTACATCTGACATACATTACATCTGACATACATCACATCTGACATAGATTACATCTGACATACATTACATCTGACATAGATTACATCTGACATACATTACATCTGACATACATTACATCTGACATAGATTACATCTGACATACATTACATCTGACATACATTACATCTGACATACATTACATCTGACATACATTACATCTGACATACATTCATCTGACATACATCACATCTGACATAGATTACATCTGACATACATTACATCTGACATAGATTACATCTGACATACATTACATCTGACATACATTACATCTGACATAGATTACATCTGACATACATTACATCTGACATACATTACATCTGACATACATTACATCTGACATAGATTACATCTGACATACATTACATCTGACATACATTACATCTGACATACATTACATCTGACATAGATTACATCTGACATACATTACATCTGACATACATCACATCTGACATAGATTACATCTGACATAGATTACATCTGACATACATTACATCTGACATAGATTACATCTGACATACATTACATCTGACATAGATTACATCTGACATACATTACATCTGACATACATTACATCTGACATAGATTACATCTGACATACATTACATCTGACATACATTACATCTGACATACATTACATCTGACATACATCACATCTGACATACATTACATCTGACATACATTACATCTGACATACATTACATCTGACATACATTACATCTGACATACATTACATCTGACATACATCACATCTGACATAGATTACATCTGACATAGATTACATCTGACATAGATTACATCTGACATACATTACATCTGACATACATTACATCTGACATACATTACATCTGACATAGATTACATCTGACATACATTACATCTGACATACATTACATCTGACATAGATTACATCTGACATACATTACATCTGACATACATTACATCTGACATACATTACATCTGACATACATCACATCTGACATAGATTACATCTGACATAGATTACATCTGACATACATTACATCTGACATAGATTACATCTGACATACATTACATCTGACATAGATTACATCTGACATACATTACATCTGACATACATTACATCTGACATAGATTACATCTGACATACATTACATCTGACATACATTACATCTGACATAGATTACATCTGACATAGATTACATCTGACATACATTACATCTGACATACATTACATCTGACATAGATTACATCTGACATAGATTACATCTGACATAGATTACATCTGACATACATTA